TTGTTAATTTTATTATTTTAATCGTTTTAAAATTACTTTCCGATAACCTTTTGAACAGATAATACAAGTTGTTTCATAAAATATTAATAATTTTACACTATTTGATAAATTAAATCTTAATTATAAAGTTGTTTAAATATATTTTATAATGAGTTTAATGACTGTTTATAATAATCGTTATAATTGGCATTGAATTCTTTTGGTCATTATTCTGTCAAATATTTTTTGATTACATTTTTTAAAATTTTATTGATTTATTTACAATTACATTTACAAATATAGTAGTCTTATAGTAAACTTTAAATGAGAAATTATTAATTTTGGTATAATATAGAGATAACTGTTGAAATAGTTTAAAACCTTTAGCTTTATTCAAAACATTAATTTGTGTAATTAAATACACCCATGTACAGAATGTAATGCCTTGAACGTAAACTGTAGTGCATTATTAAAAACAATATGCGGTCATTGGCTTTTCGATAGCCACCACTTTGCCTTGACACTTACAACTGCTCGACTGTATTTGCTCAACAGATCACATGCAACAGTTTTAATTAAATTATTTATTATAGATTCAGAGTTAAGATTGTTGTAAAATGTCGTTTTTTAATTTTATAATGAATTAATTAATAGAAGAAAAATTATTGAATTATTAAAATATAGTTAATTAAAATTGGTCAAATCTATTATTATTGTTATTTGTATCATTTTTAACACTATTATTGTCAATACTGTTATTATTATTTTGATTGTGATCACCACTAGTATTATTATAGGGCTTAAAACTGGCCAACTGTTCGAGCGTAGCGTTAATCTCATTGATATCTACCTGAGACTCGGGCCTAACAATTGCGGAATCGTTTGAACTTTTATTTCTTCTGAGAAGTCCGTCCCTACAAAACACATAGCATTGATAGCATTGTTGAGAGACATGACAACAGACCACCAGAGCTATGATTAACAACACGATGACAGCTGTGATTCCCACCATAATCACAATAACCAGCGCTTTAGAGGACATGCCGTACGAGTTGACCGTCGATTTGGGTTTATATTTGTCGGAATCGATACAAAAGGGTTGGGTTCCGCTCCACGAGCCGTCCGATTGACAGATACGGGTTCGCGACGACACCAGCAATGGTCGACCGGTAATGCCGTATAGGGTTGTCGCGCATCGGGCCGTCACTATTGTGCCGTACATTATGGAGCCGTCGGGCGCTCTGTTATGGTAAGTGGAAAATATGCCGAATTTGTCCACTACTTGCGGGCAGTGGCCGTGTTTTAGTCGACATACGGGGAATTCACGAGCCCACTGGCCATTACCCAAACATGGTATACGTTTTGGGCCTGAATTTCAAAATGGTCAATTAATGTAAAAGTTTATGAAAGTTATCAAAATAAAGTCTGTTTTATAAACTTGTGTAAATTAGAGTATATGCTGTGATCTATAGAAATGATGGTAACTATTTGGACACTAACCAATCAGTTCGTAACCGTCGACACAGGAATAGATGGCCACCTGATTGACCACTTGAACGAGACTATTGAGTGGCCGTTCGGGAACACCGCACAACTCGGATGAGTGAAATATACTGAGCGAACAGAGGCTGACGTTTTGCGGATCAAATTTGTTGGCCATTCTTTTGGGGTCCAAATAGAGTACAATCTCATCGGCACCCGTAGAGTAGGCGCCCTGTTCTGCGGCCGTCGGGTCGTGATTGCAGATAAAGGATATGTGTGTTATCCGTTTGTCGTAGTCATAAATGTCTTTAGGCT